TGTTTCTTGCATCATTACAATACAAAGAATTCCGTGCCAGGCGAAGAGATCAGCTTGAGGGATTCATTAAGGTAAGTGACGCTGGCTTTAATTTTCAAAATAATTAATATTTAATTTTATACTCTCCCCCATAGTCGCGCGCTATTCCGTGGTCGCACACCAAATCATCGTCACTTTATTGGTTCAGGCAATGGCAAGGCATCGGACATCGGTCCAATTCATAAGACGGATTTATGCACAGCATATCGAAATCGTCATAAGGACACTGACTATGGGTTTCTACGCGAATACGAAATGTTGCCTAATCGATTTAGCGATCGTACAACTAAAAACTCTGATATGAAAGAAAATGCATCGAAGAATCGCTATCCAGATATCAAGGCTTACGATCAGACACGGGTGAAATTGTCCCAGCTAAATGGCATACAAGGCTCTGATTATATAAATGCTAACTTTGTTATTGGCTACAAGGAGCGTAAAAAGTTCATTTGTGCACAAGGCCCCATGGAGAGTACTGTAAGTGACTTCTGGCGTATGATCTGGGAGCAACACCTGGAGATTATAGTCATGTTAACAAATTTGGAAGAGTATAATAAATCGAAATGTGCAAAATATTGGCCTGAAAAGATATCGGATGCAAAACAGTTTGGCGAAATCACTGTGAAATTTGTAGCTGAAAAGAAACTTGGCGATTATTTGGTGCGTAATTTGGATGTAACACGCCGTAATGCGACTGGGAATGAAGAAGATGAAGAACGGCGCCAAATTACACAGTATCATTATTTGGTGTGGAAGGACTTCATGGCACCAGAACATCCACATGGCATTATAAAATTTGTTCGACAAATCAATGCAGTTTACTCAGTGCAGCGCGGCCCCATTTTGGTGCATTGCAGCGCTGGGGTGGGCCGTACAGGTACGCTTGTCGCATTAGATTCACTTATACAACAGCTGGAGGAGGAAGACCAAGTATCGATATTCAATACGGTATGCGACTTGCGGCACCAGCGAAATTTCCTTGTACAATCATTGGTGAGGCGCTGACTACGAAATTAATATAGAAATATATGCAAATTTCATTAAAACGTTTTTTTTCTAATTTGCAGAAACAATATATTTTTCTATATCGTTCATTGCTTGATATTGCACAGTTCGGTAATACGGAGCTGTCGGCTGTTTCACTTTCCAGTAAAATTGATAGCCTCAAGCAAAAATTGAACGATGGCAAGGATAAAAGCAAATTAGAAATAGAATTTGAGGTTAGCTAAGTTTGAGCTAAGCACTGTTTTTGGTTTCTATTTGCTTCTTTTGTTTATATTAATATTACTTTTTTATAGAAACTTCTTGCCATAACTGATGAAGCAGCAAAATCTTCGGCCGTGGGCAGCAATGAGGAAAATATGTCGAAGAATCGTAACGAATCAATCATACCTTACGACCGCAATCGAGTAAGTATTTTTATGTATGTATGCATATTTACATTTTAAACTAAAATAAATTAGTGCGTAAAATAGAGTTTTACGCAAGTATTAACAGCTGTACACGAACAGTGTTATACTATCTTAAAGCTACAGAACTATGCTAAATTGAATAGAACGAATACGCTAAAGTAGCAGCGTAGCTACATCGATAGAGATATAGATAATATCGAGGAATATACCGATAACGTTTATTCGTTTGATTTTAAAATATAAAATAAAGATATGTATATCCTCAATTTCAGGTTATACTAACACCCATACCGATGAAAGAGAACTCCACCTACATAAACGCCTCATTTATCGAGGGTTATGATAATTCAGAAGCATTTATAATTACACAGGATCCCTTGGAAAATACAATTGGTGATTTTTGGCGCATGATATCTGAACAAAGTATAACCACACTTGTGATGATATCTGAGGTAAGCAAATTTTATTATCCTTCGATCAATTCTCGCTAGCTTATAGTGAAAAGTTGCTAAGTCAATTTTAAAAAATCCTACAGAGTAGGAAAAGTACTTGTAGCACTTTCTTCACATATTATGGAAGACATTGAATGCAACATTTTTCTCGTGTAAAGTAAATCAAAACTCTATACGAATCAGATGTATTCGATGTTAATAAAAAAATTTCGTACTATTTCTCTTTTGGACTTGCCTTTCATCGAATATAATCGGCAAAAAAAAATAAAACATGTACCTTAATCCTTTTGACGAAGCATTTTTGCTTCCTACATCAAAATATGAGGCTTCACAAAAGGTTCTTTTCACTCTAGGGTAGCAAGACACAAGTATATATGTACATGTGTAAATAATTCAAAACAATTTTGCATCATGGCGCTTTTACAGATTGGTGATGGACCCAGAAAATGTCCACGCTACTGGGCAGATGATGAGATTCAATACGATCATATACTTGTAAAATATATGCAAAGTGAAAGCTGTCCATACTATACGCGTCGCGAATTCAACGTAACAAATTGTAAAATTGATGATACAATAAAAGTGACACAATTTCAATATAACGGCTGGCCGACTGTCGATGGTGAGGTGCCAGAAGTTTGCCGTGGTATTATAGAACTCGTCGATCAGGCGTTAAATCATCATAACAGAGATAAAAGTATTGGTTGTAAATCACCCCTGACTGTGCATTGCAGGTAATTTAAGCGCATAAATAACGCTTTTTTTCCATGAAAGAAAAAATACCTATGTGTCGTATTATTTGTAGTTTGGGCACCGATAGGAGCTCAATATTTGTGACCATGTGCATATTGGTGCAGCAGTTGAGAACCGAAAAGAGCATTGATATTTGTTCAACGGCTAGAAAGATACGATCTCAGCGGCCAAGGCTATTAAATTCATTTGTAAGTGTAAAAGTAAAAAATTGCCAAGTAATTAACGCTGTAATAATTTATGTAAATTTTTCGTTAAATATTTGCAGGCACAATACGAGTTCCTACATCGTGCCATAGCCAACTACGCTGACTTGCACAAACTGTCGACAGAAACTGCGTCTTCTGAGTGTTAATAATTAAGCTATTAAAAAGTGAATAATTTATAAGTATACATCACACACTTACACATACTGATTAGTCATAAACATTTAAAGTAAAACATATAAATATATATAATACATATATATGTATATCTAAGCACAAAAAAGTATTTGTAATGCATAGAAATCATATTCATTTATTGTGTAAAACTTCGCGAACCCAACCACAACAAGAACAAAAAAAAAAAATAACAATAACTTAATGTTTAAAAATTGACTTATGTATAAGTTTTTTCTACCTAAGTTTATTTAGCAGACTACCAAAGGACAGCCCGTAAATAAAAAAAATATTTTAGATAAAACCAAAATGTGCTGGAACTTTTGAAGTATTGCGTTTGAATGGGGAATCGAAGTTATCAACGATTAGGGGGATTGCCAGCTCGTGCTTGCAGGTATTGAAAATTTGAAAAATACCTATAAAGAAAAATATATATTTTTTTAAAGCGTCGCCCGTCTGATGGGAAGAGAGAGAAATGCCGCTGATGGGACAGGAATTCGTGTCGCTCAGGCAACTTTTAACCCACCGGGAATTGATTTACGCGCTATGAAGATTTGTTTTAAAAGCTAACCATTTGTGAACAACGCCCATTATTGGACTTTTAATCTTTATGAGGACTTTCAGAAATCAATACAATACATTCATTAGAACCCGGCGTCCTTAACACTGCAAGCATCAGAAATTGACCAATTCAATGATTTTGTAGCCGTAGACCTTTATTCCAAAACCTTCCTGATTTCTTGTGCTTACGAGGAAAAAACGCATTACTATTAACTCTTATTTATTGAGGATCGAAATTAAGAAGTACATACATATACGCACGTATTGTTTTCATATACATAATTCTAATTTGTGTTTAATTTACTTATTGAAAATTAAGTTCAAAACATGATTGTAGGCATAACCTACACTGGAGCTACTGAATACTCAGCCGGAAATTTGAAGATGTGTGAGCCAAGTGATTTGATAGTAGGCAACAAGCCGGCATTCGGTATAATATTCCATGACAAATATAATGAAACATTTTTATTGTTCCTGTGGAATCAAAAGAAATTAAAAAATATGTATGTACAATAAAATTGCTAAGCAAATAACTCACTTCAATCCATTGCCATCATCCCAGAAGTAATATTTAGTATTCATATTCTTAAAATCAAGCGCCGAATTTTCGCCACGCAAAATGATCTTATCCCACAGCACAACTTGATTTAGTACGTTGTCCTGTGTCTTATATTCCGCGGTCAAGTAAAGGAACAATTGTTTTACATTCCAATTGAAAAGGCTGGTGAGGTTCGTTTCCAAATCGAAGGTGAGAAAGCCCAAGTCATGTTTCTCACGCGAGGCGCCGTAGTCGGGCACGTTTTTACTGATACACAATGATAAATTTTGGAATAATGAATAGGTATACAAAAATTGGTCCTGCCTTCAAATATGCAGGTATACATAGTACTTACACCAACACTTTTACGGTGTTTACGTGTGCAGTTGTCCTGCTGTCTAGGAATACAGTTGAAAGAAAGCAGCAAAATGTTAAACAGGCTAATACGCTTAACGAGTAAGCAACTGTTGCATTGCCCCGCGTTAGTACCGTATGCATATTTATTTGTTTTTTTGTAAATAGCAAAGAAATTAATTTAACTAACTACACGTATACCATTGACACGTAGAAAATAGCCGCCGATTGTCAAACAGCAGGGATATGTAATGTACGAAATTATTAAATGGATTCAGTACAGTACAGGGTGCTCCAAAGGATTAGAAGTAAATTGTTTGCAAATACAAAGTTTTCGATGGATTCTTGGTGCTGTTTACTACAAGGTAAATAAACAAAAAGAGATTAAATAGTTAACAAATCATGTGGGCAATTGTGTTTAATTACTAAATTTTACTTCAAAAATTTATTTAATAAATACTCAAATTATGTATTCTATAAGTGGATAGAGTGGTACAGTTCCACTGATTCCATATTTTCTTCTGAGCCATGCTGTACCCAGCAAGTAATTAATTTTTTAGCCAGCTTGTTGAACGTAAACATTTGTGGGCGTATTAAAATAAAGTGTTCGTCGGGTATTATTTATAATGAAACCAATTGTTGTGTTGACGTCTAGCGGAGAAGAGAAGCCACAAAATATAATCAAAGGTATGTATCTAAAGTAAACGTGATCAAATTTGCCGCTTTTTCACAATAATTGATTGAAAGTTAAGCGATCGATCCCATCAAAGGTCGATTCATCATAGGGTAAAAGCGCACTTTAGCGGAACCAGGCGTCCTACTCGTTTTTGCGTAGGCGGCATTCGGCCGCACTTAGGGATTATAACCCTCAGGCAGTAGAATTCTACTTTCTGTGTTGCCAAAGAAGGGGCAGACCAACTTTCATTTACTCCATTTATTTGCATAAAATTCATCAAAACATGATGCGAAAAGTGCAAAGTGCAAGTGTTTTTTGCGAATAACTCTTAAATTAAGTGTTGCTAGAGGGACAGTCCTTGGGGAGATATAAATCCGGGTCGTTCCGGTTACGTCGACCCGACTGTCGATGAAGCTAGGTGACTATTATAATTAGCTTTTTACTATTATAGGTATCCTTAACACGATTGGAAATCCCACAGAAAGCACCGAGTCTATTACTATTGGTTCATCCACATATTTGACTTATTTATGTGATCTTAAAACCAAGTATTATGAAAATACCATCGCTTTGTTGCCCTATGAAGGCAATATCTGTGAACTACCCGAAGATGTTTTGAAGGCTACAGAGATGCTAATGTTCTACTTCGATCCGGACAATGTAAATCTCTATACTACCAGTTGCGGTTAACAAATTACTAATTTAATTCCTATATTTTTAGAAATCATTTAAGCAAAAACTGCCTGACCTTTGCAAACTTGTAACCAATAATGACATCGAATTGGGCTTATTGTTGACTAGCAAACTCTTTGATGATGCAAAACAAGGGCTGACTTATGAAAGCGTAAAAGAATGCTGTAAATTCCAGTTTGATGTAATAGAGCTCAGCAATGATGAGGCTGCTGAAGAAGCCGGAGGATATGAAGAAATCGTCGAGGCATTAAAAAATAATATTTGGTCTAATGTTAAAGTACCGGGTAAGCGATTTCTCTCATAAGACATATAAAATCCTTTAGTAATTTGTAATTCGTTAAAAAACTTGGGAAGGTGGCAACATAGATGGGCAAGAAGGCGATATGGAAGAGCAGTTGGAAAGCTTCGAAAATTTACTATCGAGCATTCAAAACTTTAAACGTATATCGAATGGCATGGAACGAGATCAAATGCTCGATGAAGCAGAAAAATTAGCTGAACTTTTTATTAAAATGATGAATGAAGATTAAATGTGATAAATTTTCGAGGATTTTAAGTTAAACAAGAATGTGTATGTAATAGTATGTAGTAGATTAAAAATCAATAGCCAACGATCGTTCTGAAGTGTTAAAGGAATTTATACATACATAATTCAACAGAAATATGAATTTCTCGCATTCAACCTCAATATATGTACATGTCCTATAAGTGGGAACCAGGTATACTCTATAAAACGATATATGTACATAAATATGTGCCAATCCGGTGTATTTTTATTTGGCCCCTAGATCGCTTGTTCGTTTTAGGCAATAACAAAAATTTTGCCAATCGGCTCTAATACGAAGGCATCCTTAAACTTTTCAACATCCCTGCAAACCAAAGTTCCCGAAATCCTAACGAAATCTTTAGGAGTATCTCATTTCTGTAACGATTTTTATATGAAGTGGTTGACACGAACTCGTAAAGAAATTTCTGTGCGAAAAATAAGGAAAATTCTGGAAAAATTCTGAAACATATTCTTCACATAGCAGAATTATTTTCGTTGCTTCACAGATCTTCTTCAGAAATTTCGTAAAAGAATGGAAGTGTGCGTAATTTATTTCATTTTAGAAAATTCGACAAAAAATCGAATTAAATCTTATCGAATTCTTTAAAATTTCTTTACAATGCAGAATACTCTGAAAAAATGGTTTGCAGGGATATTACTAAAAATTCATATATGTATATATTTATGTTTTCATATTATTTTATTGATAAAATTTATGCTGGTAAAAGATCAAAGTCATCGCTGACGTGTACTATAGGTACATGATCCTTATCAATTACAGTTTCACATTTGTAATCCCATAACTTATGTTTCTTCTGTTCGATATCCCAATTCATCAACTGTACGGCATGCAGGCTTTCAGCTTCATTATGGTGGCGCAAAACCATAGCTTCCTAAAAATATATTACACTTCATAAAAAATACACATGATCGGCCTATGCAAGCGCGTACCTTTATTTTATCCCATTTATCGTCGACATCCTGCAACCAGCTTAATAGTTGCCGTCCATTGAAACGATATCGCGCATTTTTATCCTTTTCTTCCTGTTCAGATGTCGGTATATTATAGACTTCTTGATCTTTAAGAAGCGTGCATACTGAATATGGTACGGGTTGACATGAAATATTACGCGCAGCCTTCGAGTGAACTCGTATCATTTCCTGTTCAACATTCAAGCACAATTTTTCGCGTTCTACTATATGACGCTGTAGCAATTCATTGCGCTCTTGTTCTTGGATACTAAAAATTTCTTGCATTTTTGCCGGTATCGTACCTGGCGTTACAGTTTCAACCTTCTTTTCGTTACTTGCAAGAAGATAGGTTTTCTTGTTTAGTAAATATTCATTATAACCTTGCGGTGGTCTCGGTTTAATGGGATAAATATTTCGCCACTTTTTCTCAATCTGCCTACGTATATTAAGATACATTTGGAAACAATTTGTAAATGGAAAATCATGTGAATGTGTTTCTGAAATGGTCGAAGATGCTTCTGTATTTGAATTATGATTGCCATTATTCTTGTTATTGTGATTGTCATCGTGTTTTGAGCGTATTTTACGCTTACGTGGATGCAATTCGACGCTATGCGAATGTACATCCTTCGATGAAGAGGTCGATGATGTGGAAGGACTTGGCAAATTAACGATATTCTCATTTTCATATGTTGGGTTTTGTTGTATCGGACTTGCGCTGACGTTTGTAAACGAAAGCTTGTTTTCTGTATTACCTTCGTTAGCATTCGATGATGCTGGCGATGGTGAGCTGCTCTGCATTTGTGGTGACGAATTATTGGAACTACGCTCAGCGCTGGTAATGCCACTCCGATGTGAGCTGCGAAGCACACGATGTAGATTTTTTTCCTCATTTAACAATTTCATATTCTTTTCATCCATAACAGTGCACATGTTGTTAATTTTAATGGGACTCTCATTTGGACTACTGCATTGGGCTTCACGTTCGCTGGAATCATTTGTGTTTGAACTCACTACATAGGGTAAGGCAGCATTGCGAGATGTATTAATTTTTCCCGTGCGCGATACATTTCCATCTGTATCTATAGAACAGTTCTGTTGTGGAATGACAATTTTCAAAGGTGGTACTTTCAAACCGCCACTATATAAAGAGTCTGACATTTTGAATTCCTCATCCTCCGTATCGCCCTCAAATTGTTTTGTGAATCCAGTTTTTGTTAAGTCAGACTGCTCTTTTTCTGTTGAATTCGAGTTTTTACTAGGATTCGGTGAACCCTTAGCCGCCGTCGTTTGCTTGATTGCCTTCTCAGTGCGGCCGGGTAGTCGTGCAGCTGAAGTGGATTTAGAATCTTTGCCAGCATCTACTTCTTTGCGTTTTTTCTTCTTGACGTCATCACAATCATCAAATTCGTCTTCATCGACGTCTGAGAAATTCCTTTTACCCTGACTTGATGAAGCCGTATCTGCACTTCCATTGCCATCATGTTCACTTTTGCTTTCGGAATTAACTTCATCAGTAGTCAATTTATCGCGGCTGGTATCTGAGTGATCGTGCTTTTCAGAGGAGTTAACATCTTCGGCGTCATCACTTTTCTTGTGTTCATTCTTTTTGATGTGCGCTCTTGAGGCCTCTGAAAATGTGTTTGCATACATATGTATGTATGTGAAAATTAACTTATTCATATAAGGTGCATTGGTCACCTTATTAAAAAAATGCATAATTGATCTTATTGAATCTTTAGCTTACCTGTCGTCGAGTTCGCCGTCATCTGAATAAGCAGTGCCATTTGCTGTCTCTCAGACATCGGTGTATTCGGGCTGGGCCTAGATGTTGTGACTCCTGTATTATATCCCACTCCCCTCGGTCTTGGGGGTGGCATAATATCTTAGTAATATTGCGTACCCAAAATGTTAAAAGTTAAATTCCCAAAGAAACAAAATAGCAAAACGTTTACAAAGCAAAATGAACACAAATACGCACACTTAATCCTTTTCATTTAATATATGAATGATAAACTCGTCAGTTGGCGGAACAGCGAAATGGTGAAACAACTATAGGAAGACAATGGAAAAAATTAAATTTAATTTTAAAAGAGTTACCAGGATGTTCCTCAGGCTTTAGTTTTCCGAACATTTGCAGCCACTTGGAACAAATGATAGCACCCAAACAAAGAACGTAAATCTATAAGAAGGGACAACACGCTATAATTGTAGCGAGTGGTAACATCAGGAGCAGGCCTTCCCTTTTGCCTAAATACGTTTTTTGATTGGATGAAAGGAGAAGGCACGCTCCTTATGTTCAAACTCGGTACAAGTATAACGTGTTGTCTCTTCTTATAGATTCACGTTCTTTGACCCAAAGAACGTATATTTACGTTCTTTGTAGCACCATAGCAAAAGTCACCCAAGCACCTCATTAGTAGAAATATTAAGATTTTTGTATTGGAATCGATAGTTGGTCGGTTGGTCTATACTGTTCGTCCATTTTTAACGTTTGACCGTAAACAGTTTGTTCCTGAGCCAAACATTTACAATTAATTTTTTACATTTCACAATTCCTGCATCTAGCACCTCATTATTTTTATTTATTAACTGACATATATAGTGTTCGTCGTTATTTCGTCGTTTTTTTATCTCTAAAATCGAGCAAAAAACGTCAATAAATTCATAATGTAATGATTTTCCATTAGCGTTATGGAACGTCATAAAGCGTCGCAAAATGGCAACGTTGCAAACAAAGTTGTATGAAGGACCTATAGCAAGTCCGGATGGCAAATATGAATTGAAAAAAAAGAACAAATGCTACATTTGCAGCCCTTTTTTGTCACGTTTCCTGAATCCCACTATTAAGATTTTTGTATTGCAATCGATATTTCTTCGATTGTTCTTTACCGCTCGTTCATTTTTAACGTTGGTTCGTTAGCCACACATAATAGCTTTGTTCCACACGCTTTTCGGGCTGCTCCCCTAATTAGAGCGTAAAAATAAGTTACTCTCTCACAAGTGTCAAAAATGTGTCAACACGTGGCAAAAGTGCCCGGAGCGTGAAGAACGCTTAAACCGCATTTCGTGCTCGGAATTAAAATATCGTGCCTAAACTATGATTTTACGTATATGTATCTTATATCGCTAATAAAATTACCAAATAACCACATTTTCTGAAAATTCTGTTGTATTTTCCACTTTTGTGTTTTATAAATTCAATAAATTAAATTAAATGAAATGAAATAAAGTTTGCTTTCCGATTTAAACAACAACAGCTGTTATTTCAAATTGTCCTTTTGCACATTTGTGCCCGGAAAAAAAGTTCGGGCTATTTCGTGCACAAAGAAGAAGACATTTACTACCCAAAATTGGAACGTATTCGCTCTATATTACTCACTTTTCTAGCGTGAGAAACGCTTTCTGGGCTGATCGGGCTCGTGTGGAACAAACCTCATGATTCAATAATACAAGGTTAGATAATTATTGGCAGCTGCGGTTTGACACTCCTTGCAAAAGGTTGCAAGGTTGAACGAAATCTCTTCGTGCGAAAATGGTAGTAGAGCAGTACGCAAAGTAGGCAATTAGTACTGAAATTCCTTTTGTAAATTCTAATGTGTTTGCAGGAAATCTGGCATTTTAAACGAAATGTTGGGCGTAATATTGATACATCTACGTGATTTACGTAATTTATGTGCTATTTAGCTGTATAAAAACTGCAAAATGACTCAAAATTAAAATAAGACTACTATGAGTAATGATGTAAATATCCAATTTAAAAACAGTTTATATTTTCATCAGTTAAATATGCTTCATATGCATATAAAAATAAACATATTGCACAAAATGTAAATTTGCAAAGAAGCAACACCGTGCCACTGCTAAGGGAGCGGTGCGAGAGAGACAACTGTCAGTTTATCGAACCTTGTATTATTGAATGTAGGAACAAACCAAATAATTACTTTTTAATTTTTGACTTAACGCTAAACATTACGTTCTTCGTTCAACGACAAAACATACGAACATCTTCAACACCTTGTTGTGTACTATTTGCCTTTAATTGTTTGTCAGTTTTCTTTTTGTTCCGTCAGGATTATTGTGTATCACCTGGTGTGCTCCATTTAATATTTATCACTTTTTTGCAAACAAAAACTAGTAACACTATATAGTTGGAAAGTTTGTATTTATCGCATTGGTTTATTGTAAAATATAATGTTCACATAACAACAACTTCTATTACATACGTTACGCTGGCATACACAATTGGTTAACGAAGTACGTGCTTGATAAAAAAAAGTGTTCAAAATATGTTATTGATTTTTCAATAGTTTGTGTAAACTCTACTGTGTCTTAATAATGCACAATGTTACCGCAGAAAAAATATACAACCATCATCATCGCATGTAAGACGAACTTATAGCGTTAATTAAGTAATTGGTAAGTGTGGCCAAAACTTTGATTTGTAGAAGAAGAAAAAAAAAAACGATTTATGACAAACTTACGCACGCATATCAGAGACTACTCTGCTATACTATTGATACCAAGAGGAGGCTGTGTGGGGATGCGTAATGCAAAAGTGGGCGCCACTGTAGCGGCAACGGCAGCGGCCGTCGTCGTCGTGTACTAGAAAGATATACATATGTCCAAAAGGGGTGTTTGCATTAGCATATAGCTGCATATACATATGTACATACATACATTCTCATAGTATACGTGGAATCGTGTGCGCTAATGATAATCATTCGCCAATATTTATTTTTTATATACGTCCATATTTATAGAAAACAGTTGATCGCGCGAGTTTTATAACTTTTACAACTACATAGGACGTTGCTATTTTGCCAAAGATGCCAATGAAATTAAAAAAAATTTTGGTTTTACCGGCGGTATAGGTAGGCCTCGAACGATTAAATCAAAATAATTATGTATATACAAAAACTGCAAAAACAAAACAATACGGCAAATTTTAGCAAAGCAAGATTCTCCAAAATTTACAAAACGTGACTTTGCCTATCGCATTGTACAAATACAACTCAATTTACCTATGCAGAGGACTTATGCAATGGAACATACATATGTATGTACTTCGAAAGCTGGTTGACCCCCCACAGATTCTAAGGGTTTTAGTAATTGCATGATGAATGCTAATTAGGTGATCAATCACCCCAACCAATGGCTAATTCATAATATCCCGTAGAGGCTATAACGCCCCGACTTCAAAAGTAAAACAGTTTATTTTAGATGATTCGAACGATATAATTGGTTATTTTGAAATGATTTCTCTGTAATGCAAAACTACACATAAATGTTGCTTAAGTTTTTTGGCGGTTAGGCCTCTATATATCACATAACATAACATACATATTATAACCCATATTTATATATCTACATGTTTATAGATTAATGGCCTTATTCATAAAAAATAAAGTAGGTTTGTACTACGTTCAAATTGACGAGCTAAACATGTTAAATGGGCTTAAACCAGTTAAATGAACAAAACATGTTCATAAACAAGTTAAATCGCATGCAATTGTTGTTGGAAAATTGAACCAGTTAAATCATTTAACTCGTTTGAAAACCCGTTCAGCGCAGAGTTGTATCAGAAAGCTTTCTGCTCCGGCCAATCAGAAAGATCCAAAAGCTTTCATTTGACACGCCAACGCTCAAAAAATTTATATTCTGAAAAATATTAAAAATTAAAAATTATCAAAAAATATCAAAATAGTATGCATGTCTGCCCGCCAAAAAAGAGGCAAAGGCGGTAAATAGTTATTTCCCATGAGGTCTCATCGTACGCAGAGATAAATAGTGCATAGGAACTAAACATTTTGAAGTCTCTAAGTAATCCGTATGCGATAATATCCTGAAGCAGACATTCGCACAAAACAAATTGAAACACAAAAACTTGATTTTGAATATTTTTTTTTTGAATTTTTATTGGTAATTAAACAACCGTCAAAGTTAACTCCAAATGTTCAATGTGGACGATTGTGTTTTCCAAAAAGCTCTTTTTCATTTAACAAGTTAAATGGGGCCAATTTGAACGTAATATCAAAGAGCTTTATAAAATGATGTTTTCATACATTTTTCAGTTTATAAACCTTTTTTGAAGCTACTTTATTTTTCATGAATAAGGCCATAAAGTTATAAGCTACGTATATGTGAAAACATACCTATTTTTTGTTATAAAAAATGTTCATCGTATCACACTGCATACATATTCATGTACGCTAGCTATTAACGCTTGACAAATTTTATGTATTAAATTAAGCAACGCTAGCTCAGTAAATATTTTTCAGCTTTGAACACAGACAAAATATATTGCGCTTGGTGTTAAATAAAATATATAAGAAAGATAGATACTTATGTATGCATGTATGTATATGAATGTACTTTTACCCAGCCAGCAGCGAAACGAACGTATTTCGCCGACGATTGCTCGATCATGGCGACTGGGAATGGAATTGATGAGTTGTGTTCGAAAGTAAGTAAATAAATAAATAAGTTAATAAATATATAAAAAAAAATCAGCTGCGATCTTGTTCACCACCTGGACGAAGGAGGCAAGGTATATTCAACAAGGTAGAAATGACAACTCAGTCGAGCTCTCTCATAGCTGACTGTAATGTCAAAAAATGTAAACAAAGAAATTAACCCTTTGTTATGCGTGTACCAAATTTTATCATTAGTGTTCGCGGAGCATTTGCCCTGAATGAAACATTGGCCCAGTTGCTCGAAAAATATAGTCGTAGGTATAGTTTTGTATCTAATGTATGTAGTGCATAAGGTATGAGTTTTGATCTAAAATTGGTTAAAATGTCACGCAGTAGCGCACAACGGGTACAATTAACGATTTACTGATATGCAGGCACTTAGTCATTCGAATTTTGTGGTGTCCTCTAAGTCTATTTCAAGATCCTAAAGGGTGCTTATATAGTATGTTAGTGTACTCGTGGATCCGGTCGTGCTTGTTTATGGCACACTTGCTCAGTTTGAGTATGTGCATCAACAGCTAACTTCGTCCCCACAGACACCTCAGGTACGGCCGAATCTTGGGATAATTGAAGCATTGGGAAATCGCAAGGTAGAGGTACTCTGCCTGGGAACAAACGAGAGTGCTTAGAAATACTCAGTTGCAATGGGCAACAAATATAAAGTCACTGGCCCTAAAATGGTTCTCGCACACACACGAAGAGTATTCCAATGAAACCCCGCAGCTATTCGCCCACCTTTTTCGCTTCACTTGACAATAAAGTTTGTTGTCCTGGGTCTTGCCACACACAGCACACCGTTCGTAAATCCTATTAATTTTATTGTGTATTTAAAATCAGTAGCACAGCTCACAATTGAAAATTTAAACTAAAAAATTCGAATTTTTAATTGTATAGGGTTAAGAGTTGACATTTCAGTGGCAGTTTAAAATNTAAAAAATTCGAATTTTTAATTGTATAGGGTTAAGAGTTGACATTTCAGTCGCAGTTAAAAAGAGAGAAATGTCAAAATCACTTCTACCTTGTTATGCCCAAGGTGTATTAAACAAGGTGTGATTGACAACTCAGGTAGGCTCTCTTTTAAGGTACTATTATGCCGAAAAATATAAACAATCGATTCAAAATTCATACAAAATTTCAATTTGACTTTATAGGATGGTTCTTCTGATAGTAATGTCAAATTCAATCACACTTTGTTGAATACATTTTGGTTATGCCTTGGAAGGAGGTCAGGCTACCGCTGGGAATTCTCGACGATGATACACCAATTCCGACGGTGAGTAACCCCAAAATACTCGGAGTTACCTTCGGCAGTCCGCTCTCTTTCTCTGCGCACGCAACCGCTATTGTCAACAAAGTACAGAGCCGCAACAGGGTCCTCAAGTCGCTAGCCGGAAGTTTTTGGGGCAGTGACAAAGAAAAGTTGCTGGCAATATACAAGGCAATAGGCCGACCGGTTTTAAATTACGCAGGACCAGTGGGGTCGCCGGGGACTAGTAGGACGCAGTGGATGAAGCTGCAGACGACACAAAACACCGCACTAGGGACATCGATTCGGTTTGTATGGGAGGTTCCACGCTTCTTTTATATATCGAGATTTTTGTTAGCCTATAACCATCCTTTGAACGTCTGCACCAGGAGTCCGAAATTTCGAAAAAAATCGGTTCAGCCGTTCTCGAGCTTTGCGATATACATATAATCTGAAGGGACAGGGGTGTCAGTAGGGTGGGGTTCAGTGGGCATGCGAAGAGAAGCTTTGAGTCATATCTTCATTTATTCTGCTCAGGTATGAGTTCAACCTGATGCAGTAACCAGAGCGTCCACGTCTGGTGGTTGTATGCCTAGATCGGCATGCCGGCTAGAGACTTGAGGACCTTGTTGCGGGTTTGTACTTTATTGACAATTGCGGGTTGTATGCGCCGATGAGACGATACTACACGGTGTGGTGCGCAGAGTTCGAAAATAAACGAAATGAATAGTATTGTTTTGTTTCGTTTCACTCATTACAGAGAGCAAAACATAACCGAAACCCAAACAAAGAAAACTCTAGTTGTATTGGGGTTTGTTCTGCTTTTGTGCGCGAGTGCAAACGACACAAAGGCATAAAGTGCGCAGCCGGGTGAGACAAAATTCGCAGGAATGATTCGCAAACGTTTGCTTGATATCATACTTACAAATAATGAAATGGAAAAGCCGGTTAATTTTTGAAAAACCCCTATTTAGGTACTTAAATGTACTATATATGAATGTGCGTATATGTACATAGATATATGTATGTATATGCAAACTTAGTAATTGGTTATAAATATGTACTATAGAAAACCATGTGGATTACTGTGGAAAAATATTGCAAATTCATATTAGGGCTTGACTTTTTTGATTTATGTACATATTCGGATATCAAATTTAAATTACCTCTTAAAATAAATAAGGGATATTAATGATTTCTTACAACAACATTTTATTATCAAAGTAGAAAATAAACATTAAAAACCATTCATGAAAACCAAAAAAAATAACTTATTAATTACACAAAATAAAAATTACATATGTGCATAATTTGGTTTTGCAATTACTCTCATTGTTGCGTTTGTTTCGAATGTCATATTTTCGGAATGCGAATGTGCGAATGTTAGGAATAACATTAAAAAATCTATAATCAACTTAATTCATCGTTTTTATTATTTAAAAATTTTGTAAGTTATTAGCATATGTATGTGTATGTAATAGGGTGGTCCAAAAACAGTAAAGTCGGAATTGTAATGCTCTCACCCCCTAGTATTGTTGTATATCGAAAAAAGTATACCCTTATTTGTTATTTTGAAATAAAAAAAAAATTTTNTGTATATCGAAAAAAGTATACCCTTATTTGTTATTTTGAAATAAAAAAAATATTTAGAGGTCGCTCAAAGCGCGCAAAATTTTACATGTATTTTTGTATGGCAAAGAACGAACTTTTTATAGAAATGGTATAGAATTCTTGAAAGCCAATATTTTTCGATCTGTAAACCCTGGTTCTCTTCAGGAGGCCTTCAATAATAATGCCCAATTGTTTATTTAACCATTTTTTAATACTAACGATTTTTCATTGTTCCGCCTATTGCATTTTTCGGGGTTTTTGTGGGTTCTTCGCGGACATATAAATTATAGTTGCGATGAAAAAATGGTTAACTAAACAATTGAGTATTATCACTGGGAATCTCCTGCAGATAAACAGAGTTTTCTGATAAAAAATATTGATTTTTGAGAATTCTATACCATTTCTACGAAAAGTTGTTTTTCCCTCCTATAAAATACATGGAAGACTTTGGGCGCTTTGAGCGACCTCTAAATATTTTTTGAATTCAAAATAAAAAATATGGGTATATTTTTTTTGGTATAAAACAATC